CCGATCCCACGCCCGCTCGGCCCGGGCTCCAGGTGCGGGTTGCTCTGCGGCAGATACTGGAACACATCTCCTGGCTCACCTGAAGGGAATTAGCATATCGCAGAGCTGTTGGGACAGATTGCTCAGAGGCGCTGTCCTCCCGAGGAGAAGCCTGTCAATCACAAGTGTCACAGCTCCGCGTGCGCCTGCGCCCGCCGCACAGAGACGGCGCTCACGTGTGATCTAGAGAACGTCACCCCACAGGCACTCCCACTGTGTGAAAATTATGCCGAAAACACTCCTCCTCCAGGACCTATGTGGCTGCTCTAGCAGTGGTTCTCAACCTTCCTAATGCCGCGACCCTTTAGTACAGTTCCTCATGTTGTGGTGACCCCCAGCCATAAAATTATTTTCGTTGCTACTTCATAACTGTAATTTTGCTACTGTTACGAATTGTAATGTAAATATCTGATATGCAGGATGTATTTTCATTGTTATAAATTGAACATAATTAAAGCATAGTGATTAATCACAAAAACAATATGTAATTATATATGTGTTTTCCGATGGTCTTAGGCGACCCCTATGAAAGGATCGTTCGACCCCCAAAGGGGTCGCGACCCACAGGTTGAGAACCACTGCTCTTGTCCTAACTCACCAAAGGCTCCCCGGGAGGCGAAAGCAAGGATTCCGTTATATCAGAATTATTTCAGACTAAGTTTATCTTCTTATTTTCTTAAAAATAAAGTTTTCCTGTGTGTGGCAAATCCACGCACAGATACACTTATAGGGAGTGTTTAAAGCGGTGCGGGGCCGGGAGCAGGCGGGAACCTTCAGACCTGCCTTGCGGGGTGTGCGGCTGAGCGGCTCTCACCTGAGCGGCCCGCGCACATGAGTCTCTGCCACTGTTTCCTCGGCTGTGAGGCGGGGACAGCATCGCAAGGCCTTGCCGAGCTTCTGTGTGAGTCAATATGAAATGAACTCACCATAACGCCGGAAGTTACTCAAAAAAACAGGAATTTGCGTTTGGAGAGATGAGACGCGAGTTCTCATGCGGACAGTTAAATGGTGGCCATTTATGGTTTAAAGCCACAGAGCGGGAGGGTAAGGAGGCCGGATGCCGATGGCACCCACATTCAGTCTCTCTCTGGGGCTCTGAGCGGGTCCTGGGGAAGACGCCCATGTGGTTGGGTGTGGGCTCACAGCGGGCGCCAAGAGAGCTCCCTGGGAGGTGTTTTCTGACTTCACTGTCTAAAATTGTGTATTACTATATATATATAAAGTAATTTATATATATTTAATATCCTGATTTCAGAGAGGAAGGGAGAGGGAGAGAGAGAGAAACATCAATGACGAGAGAATCATTGATCAGCTG